TATTTGTTTCAAAAAGCCTACAAAAGGAATGTGAAAACACAGAGGCACATTAAACAAATAAAGAGCACACATTGAATTAGTTAGACTTAGTTTGGCTGCCATCCACGACGAAGACGCTGACATCCTGTGGAAGAGAAAGCACTACGGGCAAATGCATTAAAACCACGCTGCAGGAAGTCAGCCTTCCAAAGGGAGGGACGGAGGGACTTGGATGGAAGTGGAGTGCAGGCCAGAGGAGGGGCCGGTGCTTCCAGCTGGGAGGCTGGAGAAGATTCCACGGCCGAGTGAATTTCAGCGTCTTGGAGAATGGGTAGAGTTTGGATACAGAACGGCTATGTTAGTCCTGGGTGCCCGGCGATGTAAGGAAAGAGGGTCTTCATTGCCTCTGTTTCTCCATCTGCGAAACAGGGCCATCTTTCCCTTGAATCCAGTGGGAAACAGCAAATAAAAAAAGTGGTATCGAGCAACTGTTCAATACAACAAATGTTGTGCTGAACAACCTGGCCTAGGAAACGGGGGTTGCTGTACTGTGATCGAGTGTAGCTGTGTAGGACATTACGCAAGTCACAACTCCTTCTCAAGGCCCCAAGGCTCTCAACTGGAAAATGAAAGGGTTTATGGATGGAACACAGTAAATGCATCCTCTCACTTGAACATTACTGGGTGACCCTACAAGTGCTTTGGGGGTTGGTTTCTGCCAGCGACACGTAAGCTTCCTGTTCACACAAACCCCTTGACGAATGGTCTTGTGACCGTGGTGGGTGTGAAGGCCACTGTCGGGGCCAGGAGGAGGAGGGCTGGGTCTTTCCGATCCCTATCCACTGCGTAGGGACTTGAGTCTCCGTCCTAGCTCTCCCTATGGATGCCTCCAGGGTCTTATTCACATCTCCCTCTGCCTCTACTGCACACACAAGGAAGGAAAATAAGAAGGGAAAGGAGGGGAGGGGAGGTGGACAGAGAGAGGGAGATGAGAGAGAGGCTCCGGACCAAGGGACCTCCCCAGTACCCAAATAGCCTGAATCCAAGGTTCTTGCTGTGATCTGTGAGACCAAGGGAAGTCTCATCTCCTTTGTGCTCACTCACCCCTGTCTCCTCTCCTAAATTAAATTCTCCATTTTTGAGATTCGCCTTCATTCAAAAGAAAGGAAGGACTTTGGTCTTTCAAGGGTACTTTTTCCCTGAGGCCTTTCTGCGCCTCTGCTTCCCTCTGTAGTTCTGGGGAGGCCACGGGGGAGACAAGGATCTGAAAGGAATGTGGCAAGGTTTCTGCAGTGCTGCTCAAGTAAGGGCTGGAGACAGGGAGGGGCGTCCTGGAGCTGTCCCAGAAGCCTTGTCAAAGGACACATTTCCTGGCTGCAAAGCCAGAAGCAGAAAGGTGTAGGAAGAGGAGCACCAGGTTGCAGGAGGAGAAGGGGGATGGGGCAGTCTATTTGGGGAAAGAAAGTCCTATCTCATATGGAGTCAGCTGAGCCCTGGCTTCTCCTTCAAGGATCAAAATCTTTCAGGGGAGAGAAGCTCCCGGATGCAGGCTGAGGAGTCAGCAAAGCATCAGAGAAATTTATGCTTTTAAAACTTCACTCAGAATTCTTTAGTTCTAGCTGGAGACGCTGGACTATGTCTGTTGGACACTGAAGAGGCCCAGGCCAGCTATTCTCTGCACACACAGAACTGGGCTGTGGTTGCACACACAGCCTTGGGGACACAGAGCAGAAGACACATACTCCGGCCTTGACCAAGGCTCACCTTCCCCATTCTCTCTCCTTGACTGTTCTACCCTAAGGAGTAGCTCCCAAGGCTACTAAAAGAGCCAAGATAAAAAAGGAGGGCGTGCTCAGTTGTGTAGCAATGTTCAAACATGGTCGATCCTTCTGGGAGGGGACCCTCTTCCTACCCTGCATCCCCTTCACAGGAGAAGGTCACGAGGGGACCCTCTCCCTTCTTTCCTTGTTTGTGCTTCCTTCCCAAGAGAAAGGACAGCACTGATTATTGGGGGGAAAGCCTGGCCTGTAACTGGCCTTGTGAGTCATCCTGGGAGTCTACTTCCAAGGGGAAAAAAAAACATCCCACACTTCCCAGCTGGCTAGGAACTCCATTCAGCAAAAGGGCAGTGGTCTCCAGTCCCCAGATCTGTTCCCAGTGGCTGCTCCAGGACTCATTCTGTGCAGTGCTTCTACACAGGAGGGGCTTGGGGCACCGCGCTCTATTCCTGTGGCAGGGGCACGTACCGCTAGAAAAGCCATGATAGCAAAACGCCTGCTCTGGTTCACTGGGATAGATGCAGAGTTGGGATGGTTTTGAAAATTAGTGGTGATTATGGGGTATAAATGGTCCACGATGCTTGCATAACCATATTATCCTGGGGGTGGAAGGTAAAGATGAGATGCTTCGGTGAGCAAGTCTGAGAATACGGTCTGAGCAGTATACTGGGAGTATTCAACCCAGGACGGAAAGCAGTTTCCGACAACACATATTTTTTCATCTTAAACTATAGATGGATGAGTTTTAAGAAAAGTCCCTTAAAAAGGAGAGCTTTTTGAAGACTCCTTTCTTAATCAAGTTGTTGTCCTCTAATATGTTAGGTTAGGAAACATGCACTGAAGTCTAGCCTAAAATGGACCAAAGTGCTAAGCGCCCTTAGTGTTTTTCCCCTGTGCACCTCTGTTACTTATTTTTTTGTTTGGTTTTTTTGAGACAGGGTCTCACTATGTAGTTGAGACTGACCTGGAACTCACTGTGTAGTCCAAGCTGGTCTCGAACTCACAGCGATCCTCCTGCCTCAGCCCCGAGTGCTGGGATGACAGGTGTGCGCCACCACGCCCGGCCCTGTGTTACTTATTTGAATTTCAGTGACCAAGGAGTGAACACAAATCCTGGGCCACCTCTTTCCAGAGGCTTCCTACCTTCTATGACGTCCAGGAAGGGGAGCGGGGATGGGGCATTGAGGGGAGCTCACACTCACTGAGTGTTCATTTCTCATAGGTTATCTTGCTTACTGCAAATGACATCAAGATGTTATGAAATTAGCGCGATTCAGAAAGACTAAGAACCCCACCATGTCAGCAGCTGGAAAGGGCTGCTCTGCAGTAAATATGTTTATTAAGTAAGCGGATGTCAGAGACAGGGCTTGAACCTAGGTTGGACTCAGCCCCTGTGTGCGCTGTTTCCACCCAGTCTCTTCGAGCCCCACATGGAGAAGGGGGCAGCTGCATTCCCCTGGGTGCTGTACTTCTCTGGTAAGCTTTGTCCAGAAAGAGGTCACCCAGGAGAACCCTGTGACCACGCACCAAGCCAGCAGGGCTGACCTGATGTACCCCTGTGGGTGAGGCACTCTGCCAGGCGCTTGGCTCATTCAAACCCAAGGAAACTTAGAAGGCACGAGCCTGGCAGCGCCTGCGGCTGTACAGAAGATACCCACTCAAATGAGCCCTGGGAAGCACAGGACAGGAGCATTCTGACGCTGGACCTAGGGCTGAAGCCAAGGGTAGTGGAGCAGTGTGATCCTGAAGAACAAGAATCAGGGAAGTCCTGGGGCTTTGAAGGATTGCGAGGGCCCTTTGTCTATCTGCCCTTCCTCCCCTGCTGATTCATCAGCCCCTCCCTGTCACCAACAGAGGGGATTCCTGTGCAGACTGCAGCGTGCATAGGAGTCAACCCACATACGGAACCGTCTAAGGGCGTGCAGGGGCACACGGATCTAGTGGCGCACAAAGCAGATCTGAAGGGTGTATGTGCACGGACAAATGTCAAGAGAGTTGGCAAATCTTCAAATTTTACATGTAGTGTTTTTCTTCTGAAAATCAACCTACCCAAGACAGTGCTTGTCCATAAAGCATCGTGTCGTCTTTGTCTTCCCTGTCTTCTCCTCTTTTTGTGCTGCTGCTGGGGACTTGTACTGAGTGGTTAGGCCTAGGATGTCTGGATTTACACTCAACATGTAAAGATTTTTAAAATTATTATTCCCTGAGCAATAAAACTCTTTACATAGCACTTGCATGAATTAGTATAAGTAATGTTAGAGATGGTTTATACTCCATGCACAGGTGGATGTGTTTAGGTTATATGCAAATACTCTATTGTTTTATATAAGGGACTTGAGCATCCACAGATTTTGGCTGCCACAGGGTCTCAGAACGGACCCCTCTCCCCCGGCCCATAGATGCTGAGAGATGGCTGTACTCGGCCACACATAAGAGTTAGCTAGGAGTACTTAAAACATGGGGATGTCCGAGCCTCAACCCAGACCTGTTTCAGAATTAGTGGATCTGTTCTCCTGTAACACAGCCCCAGGTGACTTCTCTTCAGCCAATAGGAGCACAGCATGTGCAGTGGCTTCTGGGAAACATCCTCTCAGTGATGCCCATTCGGTAGACTGGAGCTCACCTCTGCCGCTTTCACCTCCAACCCTTTCACTCAGCTTCTTATCCTGCCTAACTTCGTTACCTGTTCTGTAAACGGGGATAACGACTGTTCCTCCTTCACACTGCTGATAGGGGATGAAATCAAGTACTTGCCGTGTACAGTACAATGGCACATAAGAACTCAAAACTTTAATTTGTTATTAATTACATAGAATTAGCATTTTATCATCTATGTAATTGATCTCTGTAAATGGTCTCTTGGCTAAGATGGTGGGAACAGACTCTGATTGCCAGCCAACTGTTGACAAAAATACATGAAAGAAGGAAAAAAAAATCAAATTTTATTAAACATTAAGAACAACAGACAAGATTTGAACTTAACAGTATAAATACCACCAATACTATGGTGTACAATTAAACTAACCTCATGGATTCTTGTACCTGTTTAACAGATGCGATCTTTGTGGTCTTGCCTAAAGGATAACGCGTTATTGTTGTTTGGTAAGGTGCTCAAAAATTAAGTATTTTAAGTCTTCAAGCTGTCATACACACATGCACGCACACTCCCCTGTATATACTTTCACCTCCTGAAAAGTGCATTCAAGTAAGTTGCTAAATTCAATTCCTCAAGACCTATGATAAAGTTTTGCTCATTTTTAAATATAACTTTTAGCAAATGCCTAAAGAACTTCGCCTCATCAGTGAGGGGACCTAGGAGCCTTCAGCAGGAAGTGGACACACTGAGCAGAGAACGTTCACCACTCGGAGGCCATAACACCTCATTTCGGTCACCTGCAGGGACTGAGCCCACTGTTAATTCCAGGCCTCCAGTGGCTACCCAGCCAAGCAGGCTAATGCTTTGGGAGCTCCCTAATTATGACAAAGCATGATTTTTTTATTAAAGGAATATGAGGGGACAATTAGATGAACTACTAGAAAAACCAAGGACTAACTTTGCATTTTACAGAAAGTCACGTCCGTCTCACCCTGGGGCAGAGGAGAGGGTGCCCCTTAACTTTCTCATTGACTCCTCTGAAAGCAGATGATAGACCCTTTGGATGTACATTTAGAACCATTGTGAGTTCCCCCCCAAAATCAGTGGTTAGAAGAAACCTCTGGGGAACCTTATGTGGTTTCTATACACTCAGTGCCAAAATCCCATCCGAACTCTCTTCAAATATTCCTTCTGCTTTAAGGGGCGACTCCATGGAGACTTGTGTGTGTTCAGCAACCAAGCCTGGTAACAGTCTTGCTCAGTGTGCTTCTGAATGATCCAAAGTGGCCACATTCTCCAAAGGAAGAGGTGATCACTTACAGCCTTCCCACAGCCACCCATTCCCTCAAAGTAGCATGAGCACGAAGAGGCTCATCATTTTTTGCCTTTCTGTGCAAATGTAATCAAAAGATGATGTGACCTCATCTAGAAGTCCTATACGGCTCATTCTGAGCTGTCTAAATGATGTTGGCATGATATGGCTTGGATTCATGGCCAAGTAATTAAATCTCTGAAAGATGCTTAGGAAAAAAGGGTGAAAAATGACAACAGGACTCTCACAGGTGCAGACTGCAGGCGCTCATTAACCCTGGGGCCCAAGTCACTACCAATCAGACCATGGCTTCCCACTTGTTCTCAGAACTGCCTTATTCCCTAGTTGCCTTGAACAGACAGGCAGCTAAATCTGGAGCGCATGTGTGCGTGCGTGCGTGTGTGTGTGTGTGTGTGTGTGTGTGTGTGTGTGTTTACAATGACCCACATATAAGGCACCTATACAGACTCCAAAATGTTTAGTTTTTTTTTAAGACGAGGTAGGTTTTTGAAACCTTTCCTGTCACACAAAATAATGTTTTATTATGATCTTTTTATTTCTTCTGCAGAAAACATTTGTGATGTTTATTTGATACAAACAACCTAATTCCACGAAAGATCAATACTCACTTTTTTTTTTCAGCTACCATTTGATAACTCCGTAAATTTGGATGGCCCACATTATAATCCTTCAATGTTTCTCCACTTAAAGGTATTATTGGTCTTTGTTTTATGTATAATTTGTCTTTGTTAAACAATGTAACTATTCCACAATTAGCCCCTCCTTCATCTATAGAGAGGCCAATTCTCTATGGCACTTGCTGAATATCTCTTATTCAGTTCTACATAAGATTTTCAAAGATTCTGTTTATTCGTTATGTACCTGAACAGTATATTTCAATTCCAATATTCCCTCATCTGTGCCCTTCTCTGTATCTCACAACAAAATGAGTTGCTACTCGATATCCTACTGGTCACATTTCCCAAAATCATGACACAAGAGAGAAACACTGTGGAGGGACCGGCAGGGAGACTTCCAGATCATTAAAGAATTAAGATACTCTGGAGGCACGAAACTAGAAAACTCCCATTGATGAAACGGGATTTTAATCTAGCACAAAATGCTTCTTGGCAGTAACAGCACAATTTCCTGACATTATACTACTTTGGGAAACCAAAGAACATTCATCTTTGAAGTCAAAACATCTATCGATTTATAAACTGTACACATAAACCATAAACCAGTGCCAGCCTTACATGCATCAGACCCAGCGGCCCACAGGGGAGAACATTCTTCGGGGCAGCCGCGCTCCAACCCAGAAAATCAGACTTTTCAAGTGAACATTTCTGTGGCAGATGCTTTTCCTAGAAACACTGTATTATCCAATAAATATGTGACTAAAATCCATTTGTGCTTTTGGGTGATGTCAACTGACTTCTTTCTGAGACCTAATAAACAAGAAAACGTCGGAGCAGGATTCGTCACAGCAAGCCTCGATGCTGTCATAAAATTTTAATTTAAAGCAGAAAACATGCTGATGTGTCAGTAATAGCCTTAAAATATTAAAGACCTCAAAAACCCCAAGCACTTCTTCTCTGTACAACATTGGTGAATATATATCTTTGCTATATAATTTTAAAACATGGAATAGTTTTTCCGTTTTCTCTTTTCTATATATAATATATGTCTTCCAAAATACATTGTCAGTATTTATATCTGAAAATACTGTACAAAAAGAACTTCCTATAATTATTCTGTATAAACATTAAACAATTTAACAATCTCTTCTTTTGGTCTATAGTAAACATTTAAATTGATTGGATGAACCACAGTCTGTGCAACCCACCCCTTCTGAGATACACCAGTGTCTTTTTACATTCATTTTTCCAGGAGTCCACTTCATAAGAGCACATACTTTCCAAAGCAAACGGAGAATAAGAAACATAAGCTCCAGAATCATTAATTTACGAGGCATTCAAAAAATACTACCACGGGGAGTAAGGGGCTTACAAAACATCAATTTATGAACTTAACTTTTAAAAACATCCAACTATACTTCAAAAAAATATATATATATCACAAAAACTGGGGAAACTGAATCTTAGGTAATTTTTGAATATTGAGAGGAATATGGAAAAAGTTAACTAGAAAAGTGGGGGTGGGGTAGGTGCGGGAGGGGGCGACAACAAAACCAAACACACCGAAGACTACTCTGAGACACCTTTTTGTCTGGCTCATGTACTGATAAATTAAGTCCTCAGTCTTAGACCTCTCATTGCCCTCTGCTTCCCTGTCCTGGGGATATTCTGATCATGCTCAGATGCATTACTTTAATTTTTGTGTTTTAAAAGACAGTGAAATCCTTAGGTAGGGAAAATATCCTACGTCCACTAGTAATACTCAGGCAGCATGCTCTAGCGTACAATAGGATTATTGCTTTAGGTACAGACAGTGCAAAACACACTCTGTGTTCTATAATAGTACTCGTACTTATCTGGGGTTGGTGGAATTAAAAGGAAACTTAGTAAGTAGCAGTAAGTAAATATGGGATCCAATAAATTTAAACAGCACTTTAAATTTGAAGACAATTATCACCAAAACTGAAAAAAGGAGGAAAGCAACCTGTAAGTGAGTAGGCCTGCAGTGTAGTGCTAAGTTATTCTGCTCACCTCATTAGCGTGGATACTTATGGATTAAACAAAAACAAGAGCTTGCATTCCCAAAGACTGAGATCCACTCTTCCCAGGGCCCTTCCTAGAGACGCCCAACAGCGCCCAGAAGAGGAGGTGAGCTGGAAAACGAAGGGCAGGGGTGGAAAACCCACGGGGTCTCCAGAGTTTAATAAAAATGTGGCACCTTTCTTTTGGGGGATTAAAAGAGGATGAGAGGAGGGCTATCTCAAAATGGCAAGTGCAAAGGGACACGCACGCGTGCGCGTGCACACACACGCACACAGCTGACCACAGGAGCACAAGCACATGTACACACACGCACGCGTGCACTCACAAGGATGCACACCGAAGTGGGAGTCAGTTGTGTTTATGCCTCTGGTAAAGTGCGGATGTCAGAAAGGTTGGTCTGGGTGTGGTGCTATCAGACAGGAAACAGGCTGTCCACCTATGCCAACGCCAGCCCACAGTGCCAGCCTACAGGGGCCCGTGCCTGGCCTCGTACTTAGCGAGTATGTTCTTGCATTTGCCCAGCTCCTTCCTCAAGTCAGCCACCTCCTGGCGGAGGGCTGAGTTCTCCTTCTCCAGGAAGGAGGCCCTGATGGCGATCTGGTTCTCCTTCAGCCTCCGGGCGTCTCGGGAGCGCTTGGCTGCCATGTTGTTCTTTCTGCGCCTCGCCCAGTACTTGTCATCCTGCTCGTGAGTCACAGAAGGGTAAAGAAACGAGGTATTAGATTTCAGCAGCGCAGTTTCACTTGGCAGCTGGCAGCCTTTCAGGCCACACTGAGATGCCAGCCCAGGTTCAGAACCCACGTCTCCTTCCATTAGCTTCAGCCAGTCTGAGCAAATGGTCCATGAGCCATGGCTTCCTTCCTGGAGCAGGGACCAACCTGTCACAATGGGCCCCTTGCTCTGCCCAGCACAGCTTGTGCCCAATGAGGTGGAGATCAGAGCCTGAAGCAGAGAAAGCAGCTCACCTCACACCCAGAAGCACATTCCAACTTTCTTTAGTAGCTTGGCTGAAAACTGTAGAACCTAATTTTCTTCCACGGGTACTCATCTGCTTTTGTGGTGTAAACTGGTACAATATTTTTGGAAGGCAATTTGGCGATATCTCTCATGTGTTTTAATATGTACTCTACTGATCTGGTAACTCCCCTGGGAGGGCTTCAGCCTATAGCTTCATCGTGCCAATGCACAGTACACAAGGCTTTTACTGCAACATTGTTGGTAAAAGAAAAATATGGGAGAAAAGCTACTTATCTGTGTGTATCTATCATTTGGAAAGAATCACACAAAGGGACACTCTACAGCTGTTAAAAATATTCACCCCACTGAATCACAAAGATGTTCGAGATAGATCACCAGGTGAGCGGAAACAATGGCAGTCTGTGGGTAGATATGTTTGGCTTCACCCCAGTTTGCTTAAAAAATTGTAACATTCATAGAAAGAGACTCAGATTTATACCAGTGATGGCAAAACTTTCCCAGCTTTCGGTGATAACAAACAGCCCACTGCCGCACAACGTGCCATAAATTCGCCAACACTGATTTGTACCAAGCAGTAAAAAATGATGGCTCTGCCGGGGAGACTGAGGAGAGAGGCAAAAGAGAGAAGCGGGATCTTTTCACCTCTTATTTTATATCTGTCTGAACCACAAGAATATCATACAACAGGATGCACCTACTGATTGTGAAAAACAAAAATTTAAAAACCCTCCAGTCTGTCACTAATCAGTATTCGTATCGGAGGCTTGCATTTACACGGTTTCCACTGATCTCTTGCTTAACTAGTCTCTAGGTCTGAGGTGCCCTGGGAGATAGTTAACTGTGCTCATTGTGAAAACAAGCCTTCTCTCTCCCTCACTGCTGCCCCCACTACCACCAAAAGAAAGGAAAGCTTCTTTGCTAAGAAATGAGTCTTCTAGATCTTCCCAATTCACTGGCGGTGTTACCCGATGAAGCTTGCAGCTTCCTTTGCTCAACAACTTCAACAGCAACCTCCCATTCTAGCAAAGCGAATCGCTGTGCAGTTACATGCCACCCAGAGGTGGTGAGTGAAGCCACCCCTTCCGTCCCCAGCATCCCAAGGGAAGGTGTTAGCCTCGGAGTGGATCATGTGGGGTGGGGTCAAGGCTGCAGGAAAAATCCAACACGAGTGGTCTGCTCCCTAATCCACTCATTACCCTCAGTAGATATTTGCCCTGCACAAGACCAGAGTGTGAGATGGAACATGTGTGTAGGGACCTCCTGTGTGCTGGTCACAAGTTGGTGGTATCACTTTATTTGTAAAGCACCCCTACCTTTTTTTATTTTCTCACACTAATGTGGAATAGGGTGAAAAATGATCTCCCCAGTAGTTGGCACTGTGACTCTTCTTAGGGAGGAGGTTGTCCTGAATGAGCAAGACTGGACAAGTATGCAACGGCTGTTGGTGGAATTCGTTGTGTGGCTTCTGAAAGACGGAAGGGGAGCTGGAGGAAAGGAAGAAGGACTGGGAGGAGCCAGGAGAGCCACTGACATCACAGGGGCAAAGGGGGCCCAAAGGCATATTCAGAGCAGCAAGGCACCAGTTCAGATGGAGGTTGTTTGTTTGCGTCATTTGGATGTAAGCCCCATTCCACACCCTTCAGTGTCGGTAAATCCACCACACTTGTCAACGAGCCTAGGAGTGTGACTTCCAAGAGGAATCCAAAGAGGGACTAACTCAGGATTATCAGAAGATGCCTACAGGGGAACAGGAAGCCAGGTGCCGAGTGAGCACAAGAGAACAAGCCCCTGGAAACTGTGTGGCAGGGAGGGATGGATAGAGCTCCTGCCACAGGCCGTGGCCTTGGTGGCCTGTGACTACACTGACCAGATCTTCAGGACCAGGACTCACCAGCTGACCTCAAGGTAACAGCCGAATTCTGCATCTTGCTTAGAGTTCTTCTTACTTCTAAAGTGCTTTCATTTCCCAGCAGATGAGCTGGCAAAAGGGTGGAATGGAGACGAAATTCGGAGGCAGGAAGGGAACATGGAACAGAGGTGGAACAGAGGACACGGAGGCAGGAAAGATGGAAGAAGCAGTGCCCGGCCTCGAACAAACCGTCTGCCTCATTTCGTCATCACAGAATGGTCAGGCACGGAGAGAAGCAGGGTCTTCAGTGGGGCTACATCTGTCTCCCTCTCCACCTCCCAGGTGCTAATGCCATGTGGCTACCCAGCTACTCCCATCCAACCAGAACCCACTCGGCCATACCGCCTTCTGACAGGTCAACACTCCTGACTGCTGGCCAGACTAGAGCTTCCAAGAGGCCAGGAGCAACGTTGGGCGTCAGCTCACCTTGGTCTCTCTAGCCGCATATTCCAGCATTTGAAAAAGATCTGTCATACTGAATGAATGGACCCTGAAAAGTACTGAGAAATGCAGGTAATAAAACTGATTTCTAGTTAGGAAGCTCAGTGTGCTCTCCCTTAACACTTCCAGGGAATGCATGCCCTCCCTGATCCATCATTTTTGGTGGACGGCATTCTACTCAATTGGTTTGCTCATTGTCCAGTGCCTGAACACCTCTCTCCACCCACCCCAGCTCAGACCTCTCTCCTGACATGTGACAGCTCTTCCTGCTTCCACCAGCTCATGGTCTGTGACTTGAAGATTCACCCACATCTGGAAAAAAAAAAAAAAAAACCCAGAGGCATAGGAAAGTATTCCTGCCCATTCCGCACTCACCATGTGAATAGGTCAGACACAGCCATGCCAGCAGTAGTATGTACAATTCCAGCACAGATAGTTTCGCACTGCCTCTTTGCTGCTAACATTACCTGTGTTATTGAGTAATCGTGCCCTTTGTTTGAACATGTAAATTTGGAGACTGTGAAAATCTGGCTGGAAGTTCTGTATACTACTCGGCAACAGTCTTTCAAACCTCCAACCAAGGGGAAATCCATGTTGAATGGGCTCCCTGGCTTACGTTAAGAGGTGAGACTCTGAAATACAGTCAGGATTGGATCACTAAGGAAATAAGATCATCACAGGAAGGTATCTCTCATACCTACACCTGATCCCATGTCACCCTGGTCTTAGCCTGTGCAGTCCAACCTTCCACACCCCAAGTAGATTGTATCTTCTGCTGTCTTGACCATACACTTTCCTTTCCTGATTCTTGGGGTGGCAGTTATTGAGGGTCCTGCTGTAGCCTTTTGTCAGGGTTAACATGCTGCAGTGAACTTTCTGAGGTAGAGTTCATCTGAGTTTCCCTTTCTTCTTTCTCAACTGCAAAGGGATAACATTGGACTAATGGGTCTCTAAGGCTCTCCTCTGCCCCGAAATTTCCCTGTTCTGTGTCAGTGCAGGTACTTTCAGATATGCGCAGGACCGCAGTGATTTAGATCTGCCAGGTGCTTCTATCTCGGGTGCTCTTTCTAGACACAAAAAGCAACAGAAACTGGTCTAAATCTATTCAGTGTTCCAAAGTCCCACTCTCCCTACCTTGGAGTTTCTACATGTGAACCATGCTTAAGTTTGAGAAGTAGGGGGCACACTTTAGAGAAGGCTAATTATGTCTTGTTCCAATGCCTTGAAAATGTACAGTTATACTCCCATTGTCTTTATGCCTGGAAAGAAATATAAGCACAAAGAATTCTATGAAGTAGCTAGTCAGAAATGGTTCTATTAAAACTGCTATACAGATTTAATGCAATGCTGATTGAAATCCCAACAGTATATTTTACTGAACTAGAGAAAACAATCCGAAAATTTGTTTGGAACCAGAAGAGACCCAGAATAGCAAAAGCAATTCTAAGCAACAGAATCATAGCAGGGAGTATCAAAATCCCCAACTTGACACTATACTACAAAGCCACTGTGATAAAAACAGTATGGTACTGGCAAAGAAACAGACCCAAGGATCAGTAGAATAAATTAGAAGATTCAGAAACAACTCCAGATGTACTCAGCTACCTCATCTTTGATAAAGGAGCCAACCATCCTCAATGGAGGAAAAATAGCCTCTTTAATTGTGTTGGAAAAACTGGATTTCAACTTGCCAAAGATTAAACTAGACCCCTATCTTTCACCATGCACTGAACTAAAATCTAAGTGGATTAAAGATATAAATATTAAAATCAAAACACTAAACTTGTTGGAAGATAAGCTAGGTAGAACTCTGGAAGACACTGGCATAGGAAAAGACTTTATGAACAAATATTCAGTAACACAGTAACTAGCATAAAGAATCAACAAGTGGGATCTCATCTTTTTAAAAAGCTTCTGTACTGCAAGAGAAACCACCAACAGAGCTAAGAGACAACCTACATTGTGGGAAAAAATTTTTACCAGCTGCTCCTCAGACAAAGGTCTACTATCCCGTGTATATAAAGGACTCAAAAACCTCTGACCCACCCCCCCAAATATAAAGACCCAGTTCAAATATGGTCATCTGAAATGAACAGACATTTCTCAAACAAAGAAGTAAAAGTATAAAATAAATACATGAAAAAAATGTTCCACATCACTGGTCATTTGAGAGATGCAGATGAAAACAATCCTGAGATTCCACCTCACCCCAGAAAGAATGGCTGCTGTCAAGAAACCAACCAATAACAAATGCTGGTGGGAGTGTGGGGAGAAAGGAACCCTTCATCATTGTTGGTGGGAGTGCAGACTGGTGCAACCACTATGGAAATCAATATGGAGATTCTTCAAACAACTAGGATTAGAAGCCCCCTGCCCTGTTTTTGGTAGTAGGGATCAAACTCAGGCCCTTGAGCTTTCGAGGCAGGTGGCAGAACCACTGAGACAAATCCCCACTTGAAACAGCTATTCCCCTGCTGGGTATCTTCCTAAAAAAATTAAAGGAATCATACCACAGTGATATATGTGCACCTATGTCTATAGCAGCACAGTTTGTAATTTGGAAACAGCCTAATTGCCCATTAAGTGGAGACTGGATAAAGAAGGTGTGTTTTTTTTTTTATATAAAATGAAGTACTACTGAGCCACGAAGAACAAGAAACTAGACATTTATAGCTAAATGGATGCACACTGAGGACATACTTTTAAGTGAAATAATAGGATACACATGTGTAAATAAATACCAAATAGTTTTTCTGGTGTGATAAGCTAAAAGTGTAAATAAGAATCAAAATGTATAATTGATATTGTGTAATAGGAAAAAATGTCTAAAGGTGCAGGGGATGTGGGAGGTGTAGGGGATGTGGGAGGTGTAGGGGAAAGCTAGGAAGAGAAAAGAAAAAAGTGGAAACAAAGTCTCTGTAAATAGGGAAGGATGGAGGGGGTGAAGGGAGGGCAGGAAAATGCGGACAAAATAAAAACCAAGATACATCATGTAAAGGTACAAGATCCCAATGATGAATGTAACTGTGCTGTATACCTAAAATATACCAATAAAGAAAAAAGAAAAAAATGGTTCTCTTGGTATTAGTGGGTGTGGCATTATTTTGGAAGGAATTTTAATCCTGAAATACCATAAAATATGAGAAATTAATTTTGTTTTAAGCTATAATGGACTTCCTAAGGTAAATCTATTTCCCTTTATAAATAATGTGTCCCCTTCATCCTAGGACAGTTTCTCACCCCAACTTTACAATGTGTCAGGGAATCCAGCGCTTCCTCCTCAACATCCCCCCGGGTCTCCCGAGGCTGCCCATGTGGCAGGAGGGTTCCATTTCTGGTCGCTATTTTCTGATTGTTATTGCTATTCGGACTCTGGGTGTGGTTCCTTCCTAAAGGAAGGTAACCCTTCGAGGACTATGAGATCCAGGTGCCTCCCTTAAATAATTTTCTTCTCTTTCTAGCCATGAAACATTTTGGTTTGACATATGGGTTATATTTTATGGATTTCCTTGAAGATGGAAGTCAGTCTTCTTCCTTTATGAGCTCACCGTCCCTCTGATGTTTTATTGCTTTTCTTTATCTTGGTTCAGTATCAAATAATAAAGATACCCACAGAGGAAAGTAACACGCCGCAAAGTCACACACTAGTCAGGATCAGAAATCATGAGTACTTCAGGGATTAATTTACAAGGAATGATCAAACTATATGGTGAATGTTCAAATTTTAAAAATTTACTACAGTAAAACACACGCTGCCCTTAACTCCCCCCTCAAAATACCCTCCCCCACTTTGAACACACATCCTATAGTTCTTGCCACTTTCAGAAGCGGTTCTGGAAGTCTGCTTTTGTTTCTTTACAAAGCGTTATCCAAAAAACGGTGAATATGGCTACTGAGTGCCATCCGGTGGAAAGGCGGGCTTGTAGAAATGTTACAGCACGTCCTCATCCACGCTATTTACAGAGCTGGTGCCATGTGACTTCCAATGGTTCCCCAAGGTCAAAAGGACCATGAAAGGTAAACATTTTGAATCGATTCAGGGCATCAAGGCAGCTATGCTAGTGTAATGGAAGACACAAAAGGGCTTCCAGAACTGCTACGGAAACTGGCAAGAGGGACGGAAAGAGTGTGTCTGAAGCAGGGGAGAAGCTTTCCAGGGGGTTAATGGCAATCTGATTGCTTTTTCCTGTAATGAATCTTTTAAAAATTTAAATATCCATTGTATTTTTCATTCACACCCTGTACATAATCCTCCCGGGGTCACCTCTAATTTTCCTCTTAATCCCATGGTCCATGTGCCCCAAATCCTGATTACCAGTTCCAATTTACCTTCAGATCATCGGGAATGAAGACTTTGCGAGCTTTCTTAATCATAGGCTGCGGCTTCAGTTCTTCCTCGGAGAACTTGCGTTTTCGAGGGTCAAACATTTCCTGGCCTGGAATGCTGGAGAGGGCAAGGTCTGCTGGATCCGGCTCATACCCCACTGGGACCTGGATGGTGTCAGGATCAATGGGACTTGGTGTGTTGCGGTTTGCTGGCAACAGCTGACCTGGAACAGCACAGGAGTTTTAATTCATGCGCACTGTAGGCAGATGCACCTGACAGCCTCTTTCTCAACGGTGCCGTAAGATGAGTGGCCCAAGTCTTTGATGTATAAGTGACCCGTCACCATTTGTTGTGTTCTCCTTCACTACGTTCCTGAGGTGGCGGGAGGCTGAATATGCCTTTCCTGTCTCACATTAGGCAAAACAGCGACCCACGTACACATGTTCACAAACTGGGGAGGAAGAGCTGCTTGAAAATATGAACGCACTCTTTCCTCTCACACCCCCGAGAAGCACCACCCGCGTGGCAGGCGTGGTGCAAGATTCAATGCATAGAACCACTTGGTTTTGGCCTTTAAGGTACTGCTCAGAGAGTTGTGAAGATGGACCAGTTCTTAGGATGGAATGCAGGGACCTGGATGGAGGTAAGTCTCTTAGGGAAGCACACTTAGGAGTGACGCTTGCTACAGCTAAGAAGATGCTCCAGGCACTGAGACAAGACAGAGGTTTGCATTTTTTGAAGGAGCACAAATAGCCTTCAGTAGCCGGAAGGCTGAATGAGAAGGTGAGAGGGAGCAGGGAGAAGCTCAAGTACAGATGTGGCCACCGACAAGGGAGCCGTGAGGCCCCAAATTACACGGGTGGATCCTGAGCGGTGGAGCCACAGACAGGTGAAGTCTGGAGAAAAGACTCGAGCAATACGATGGAGGAACTGAAGTGGGCTTGGCGGGAGACACATCAGATACGGGTTGTTGTGATAAAACCATGCACACATGAAGAGAGGCAGTGGAGAAGCTCAAATAAATTCAAAAAACCCTCACAGACTGGAAAAAGACAGAACGGAGACAGCTGTACTTCCACTCAAGCGTTCAAAGGGCTAAAGCACAGAAATGCTCAAACATCTACAGAATAATGAGTTCTGAATACGTCCTATGGGTGAAAGTAAACTTAAGAGACCAAAATGGTTTATGCAGGGACTGTGACTCTTCATTTCTAGTTTTGTCTGAATTTTACAATCACTCCTTTCACACCCAGAGAATAAACGAGAGGATACAGCTTGGCTGTGTCTGGCCCGTCTCCTCTTTGTCCTCGCTGCCAGTGGCAGGTCGATGTGCGAAGTGTCCTTCAGGTTTCATTAAAACCTACCCCTGGGTTGAAGCATGAAGTCATTGGCTTGGATTCTAGCAAATCTGTGAAACCTTGCTCGTCTGTTTCCCGGAAAGGCTTGGCGGGAAGCTTGCCAAATGAATGCTCTAGGTGACCTTTGAGGTCCCCACTCTGCTTTGAGCTCTCTTCGCATCTGGCTTGCCAAAGAGGAAGAGATGAGCCCCGAGGTGCTGGCAGAGCATGCGTGTTTCTCATTAGCCAAGCTCCTGCTTCTAGAGACCGCTGAGCTCTGTACCGGGTGGCGTCAAGCTGGATTTGATCTCATGCCTCTTGACACCACCTCGGAAGACAAACCACATTTCAGTCGTACACTGATTGTATTTCCCTTTTGAAAACTCTCCTTATGTTTAATAATAAAACTACCCACACAGCCTATCAGTACAAACCCCAACACCACCCTACAGGCACCAGCATGCTTCTCCCACCGCTCAAATCATTTCAAACCCAACTGCCCTGGAGTTACTTCAATACTTCAGGGTTTTGTTTATTATATTTATTTTGTTTATTATGCTGTATTAAATGTTCTTAAGCACACGTGCGCGCGCACACACACACCTTGTAGCACACCACTGCCTTCCATATTTTGTTCATTTTTCTCCCATCCAACCATTTGCCGTGGTGCCTACTTCAATGCCCCGCTTCTACAAAGAGCAGTTCTCATTTTGGGGTTGTCCTCTGAGGTACTCGTGTCCGGCATTCATTCGTGGCCATTCGAACCATCGGCGGAGCCTCTCTCGGCATCCTTCCCTCTAGTCCGTCCTTTTCTCCAAGGGAAGTAGGTCAGCTCTACCTGCACAATGGAGAAAACCTCCCTGGACCACAGCCCAGGTAAAATGGCTTCCCCAGTGTCAAACAGCAAATGGCCAAGTACTGGGAAACTCAGCCAGGCCCCTTTACTCCTCAGAGCCTCTCCTCCCGTCTTATTTGTGCCTATTTCCCACTGAATCAACTCTGCTGGACTCACTTTCTTCTCCTTTGTTCCAAAATGTCACCAGCGCCATTGGGTCATTGGGAGAGAGGGGCCGTTCTTTTTCCTTTTATGGATTTAAAACATTTTAACAGAAGAGTTGTCAACTGAGGACTGGCTCGTGACATCGACTTTTAAAATTACGAAAAATGCACATTTCAGCAAATGCAGCGGCAATGCGCCAAGTCGGCGAGAGCTGGGGTTCTTGCTCCTTCTTCCTCCCAGTCACCCTTCCCACCTCTCCTCCCAGAGACGAGACGCTCAAGTTTGGTGAGAGCCTCTCACGGCAGGAACTTCACACAAAATGCCGTAACGTATCTTAGATTACTTTGCCATCATACCGACACACAATATGTAACTCCCCACATGGGTGCAAGTAGCTACTTTTTAAATGATGAGTAATACTGCATAGTGTGTATATAATAATTTATGTGATCATTCTCCGACAGGTGCATTTTTAATGTATATATTTTGTAGAAGAGATTCCCAGAAGTGGGACCCCTCACACGAAAGGCATGAACATGCCCTGCCACATTGTGCTCCCAAAACGTCATCTTTACACATACTTGCACACAGTTCCTCAGTACTTTTAAAATGCTGCTAATCTGACAAACACCATATCACTATTAATTTGCATTTCTCTGGCTGTTTGTGACACCTACCATCTTACATGTTTGCTGGGTATTTATTTAATCTCTATGCACCATACCTTCCTATTTTTGCCCTTTTAAATGTGGGTTTTGTTTGTTCATTTATAAAAATCCTTCACAGTCCATGAATATAATCTTGACCGGACATGGTGGCACACACCTGTAATCCTAGCACTCGGGAGGCTGAGGCAGGAGGATCGCTGTGAGTTGGAGACCAGCCTGGGCTACATAGTGAGTTCCAGGTCAGTCTCAACTACATAGTGAGACTCTGTCTCAAAAACAAAACAAACAAACAAAAACCTTCTTATCTGTTTTATCCACAACAAATGTTTTTTTTTTCTTCCATGCTTTTCTGTGTTCTAGCTTTGCTAATAGGGTTTTTCACTACTGAGATATTTTACATTGCAATATAATAACACATTGAAAAATTTTATTTTATGGCTTCTAGTTCATACCTTCTCTATCCCAAATCCTGTTTTATACATACATAATACATATGCACATTAAATATATATGTAAAATTATATTTTTCTCTAATACAACTAGAAGTGGTTTCTATCAGTGATGACGAACCTTTTAGAGCTTTCAAGGATAACAAACAGCTCACTGCAGCATTCATGCCGCGTTATGCCACCATGGCTTATCTTAGCAGAGTTTTGAGTCACTCGGGCATTTCTTTTTGCATACAGCATAAGCAAGAAGCAGTGCTTAAGGGTTTTCAAACTTCTTACTATAATATTACTAATGTTTTCTATTTGATAAGCCAAGTTCTGTCTTCCTCATTGTCCTTTTCAGAAAACGTCTTTGGATATATATATAATTTATTTTAGAGAAATTTCAGAATATATTTCTTCATTTAGGGGGTTCTGATTTAAGAGTATATGAAAGTCATAGCTATTTTGAGGGCAACCAGAATAGTGAATGTACCTGTAGTATGCTCTTCATTTTAATTTAGGAGTTTTTTTAGTTCAACTTGATAGTTTTCTTCATTGTAACCATTTACAGTTTTGCTAAGTTCACTGACCTTAACTGTTTTATAATACAGTGGACCCTCAAGTTATGACTGGCCTGACATACAAACAACTTGGATTAATGAGACTGGTGGAAGGTTCATATGCCTCTTGTTACCTACAGAGTGTACCCAGAAAAAGAGCCAGATCTCAGCAGCCAACCTGAGTTACAACCAGCCCTCGGAAGATGATGGAGTTTGTAAGTCAAGGGCCCACTGCAGCTGTTCCTACTGTAAAGTTCTTTATTTCCTAATTGGTTAGTTCTGAGTTATAAGAAGCCACTGGTTTGAAAATGCTGGTCTTCTATCCAGTCACTTTATTACCTTACTAGTTTTAGTAGTTCTAACAGTTTTAACTTCCCGTAGTGTTTAGGTAAATAATCTTATCTTCCGCCCCTAGGGACAGTTGTGGCTTGTTTTGAATGCTTATGATTCCTACTTTCAATCTCACTGCATTAACTAGGCTCTGGAAAACACTGAAGGGTAAGAAGATGAGTGATCCCCTGCCCTAGACTTCAACAGAAAAGGCATTTAATGCTTTACCCCTGAGGGTTTGTTCTCAAATCCTCACAGTTAGTCTGACAGTCTGACAAGTTAAGACAGTTCCAACCCTTCAAGACCTACTGTATTCACAGGTTTAAAAAAAAAAAATCAGGAAAAGGTAATAAATTTTCTCAATACTTTTAGAGGATAATCACGTGGGTTTCTCCTGTATTCGTTAAGTGCGGCATGGTGTTTCTCTAAGGCTTTATTTAAAACATCCAAGGTGGACAAGGTAAACCCCACAACGTAGACTCAGCTGTCTGCTGAGCACTGTTTTCTTTTTCTCCCAGAATCTCCATGATAGTCCCTTCCAGAGGGGCCAGAGAGGGTCTCTGGAGAAAAGGGTGGAACAAAGGATTTTAAGAAATCTGGAAGGGGGTTAGAAGTCACCTGTTTTTATGGCTTAGACCTAGATGTCCCCCCAAAAGTGCATGCGCTTCCATAGGTGGGGCTCTTGGAAGGGGACTGGATGATGGGGCCTCTGTCTGACTTAGGGTTCGAAGGTGGGGTCTGGTGAGAAGAGGTGGGTCACTTGAGGCATGGCCCGGAAGGCTGTATCTTACTCCCCAGTTCCTTCCCTGCCTCCTGGACAGGAGCTTCTCCTCCACCATGCACCTCTCCATGCTGTTTCTTCTTGGGAGCTGGCTGACCACGGACTTTAGAGTGAGC